CCAACACTCACCACACTGCGGGTTTCACCAACACTCACCACACTGTGGGTCTCACCAACACTCACCACACTGCAGGTTTCACCAACACTCACCACACTGTGGGTTTCACCATCACTCACCACACTGCAGATTTCACCAACACTCACCACACTGTGGGTCTCACCAACACTCACCACACTGCAGGTTTCACCATCACTCACCACACTGCAGGTTTCACCATCACTCACCACACTGCAGGTTTCACCATCACTCACCACACTGCGGGTTTCACCAACACTCACCACACTGCAGGTTTCACCATCACTCACCACACTGCGGGTTTCACCAACACTCACCACACTGTGGGTCTCACCATCACTCACCACACTGCAGGTTTCACCATCACTCACCACACTGCAGGTTTCACCATCACTCACCACACTGCAGGTTTCACCAACACTCACCACACTGTGGGTTTCACCAACACTCACCACACTGCGGGTTTCACCAACACTCACCACACTGCGGGTTTCACCAACACTCACCACACTGCAGGTTTCACCAACACTCACCACACTGCAGGTTTCACCATCACTCACCACACTGCAGGTTTCACCATCACTCACCACACTGCAGGTCTCACCATCACTCACCACACTGCAGGTTTCACCATCACTCACCACACTGCGGGTTTCACCAACACTCACCACACTGCGGGTTTCACCATCACTCACCACACTGCGGGTTTCACCAACACTCACCACACTGCAGGTTTCACCATCACTCACCACACTGCGGGTTTCACCATCACTCACCACACTGCAGGTTTCACCATCACTCACCACACTGTGGGTTTCATCAACACTCACCACACTGCGGGTTTCACCATCACTCACCACACTGCAGGTTTCACCAACACTCACCACACTGCAGGTCTCACCATCACTCACCACACTGCAGGTTTCACCAACACTCACCACACTGCGGGTTTCATCAACACTCACCACACTGCAGGTTTCACCATCACTCACCACACTGCAGGTTTCACCAACACTCACCACACTGCGGGTTTCATCAACACTCACCACACTGCAGGTTTCACCATCACTCACCACACTGCAGGTTTCACCAACACTCACCACACTGCAGGTCTCACCATCACTCACCACACTGCAGGTTTCACCATCACTCACCACACTGCAGGTCTCACCATCACTCACCACACTGCAGGTTTCACCATCACTCACCACACTGCGGGTTTCACCAACACTCACCACACTGCGGGTTTCACCATCACTCACCACACTGCGGGTTTCACCAACACTCACCACACTGCAGGTTTCACCATCACTCACCACACTGCGGGTTTCACCATCACTCACCACACTGCGGGTTTCACCATCACTCACCACACTGCAGGTTTCACCATCACTCACCACACTGTGGGTTTCACCATCACTCACCACACTGCGGGTTTCACCATCACTCACCACACTGCGGGTTTCACCAACACTCACCACACTGCAGGTTTCACCAACACTCACCACACTGCAGGTTTCACCATCACTCACCACACTGCAGGTTTCACCAACACTCACCACACTGCGGGTTTCACCAACACTCACCACACTGCAGGTTTCACCAACACTCACCACACTGCAGGTTTCACCATTACTCACCACACTGCGGGTTTCACCAACACTCACCACACTGCGGGTTTCACCATCACTCACCACACTGCAGGTTTCACCAACACTCACCACACTGCGGGTTTCACCATCACTCACCACACTGCAGGTTTCACCAACACTCACCACACTGCGGGTTTCACCATCACTCACCACACTGCGGGTTTCACCAACACTCACCACACTGCGGGTCACCTGACCTCTCGTTCTGCTTCTTTCGCTTGCACCGCTCCACCGACTCTTTTAATCCAAGCTCTTTCATACCTTTTCTCATTTCAATAAACGTGTTAAATCTCGTCTCATGCAAATTGCATGAGGCTGTTTTTTTCTCTGACCGCTTGGCATAGTGAGCCTTGGGTCCTGTGCTTTGCAAGTGTTGTATAAAATAATAATAAACCTAGACACCGCAGGGACAATTGATCAACTTTTGAACGAGCTACAGCGGTGAGGACAGGTGTCAGTGTGAAGATCAAAGCAAGCGGCAGTGTTCCTCTCTGGTCGGCATTTTTTTGTTTTAGTCGTGGACTAAAGTTAACGACACCATTCGGTTTCTCAATGTTGGTGTCAATCAAGGATTGAGAAGTTCGGTTGGGGGATTGGGTTGAAACTAAAAATCTACAGATCGAGAAAGCAGAACAGGGAGAATTGACTTCCAGAGTTGACCAGCGATGGGCGTGCGACAGGAGAGAGAGATGGTTCCAGAGTGGACCAGCGATGGGCGTGCGACAGGAGAGAGAGATGGTTCCAGAGTTGACCAGCGATGGGCGTGCGACAGGAGAGAGAAATGGTTCTAGAGTTGACCAGCGATGGGCGTGCGACAGGAGAGAGAGAATTGAGTTCCAGAGTTGAGCAGCGATGGGCATGCGACAGGAAAGAGAGATGGTTCCAGAGTTGACCAGCGATGGGCTTGCGACAGGAAAGAGAAATGAGTTCCAGAGTTGACCAGCGATGGGCGTGCGAGAGGAGAGAGAAATGAGTTCCAGAGTTGACCAGCGATGGGCGTGCGACAGGAAAGAGAGAAATGGTTCCAGAGTTGACCAGCGATGGGCGTGCGACAGGAGAGAGAGATGGTTCCAGAGTTGACCAGCGATGGGCGTGCGACAGGAAAGATGGTTCTAGAGTGGACCAGCGATGGGCGTGCGACAGGAAAGATGGTTCTAGAGTGGACCAGGGAGAGAAGTCCCAGAGCAATTTTTTGTTTCCAGATAGGACCACCTCGTCATCAATAATGATCTCACAAAAAAGAAAAAAAACGGTGTTACATTTAACATATATGTATAGTAGTAATCATAATAATGCATGTTTGTATATATTTATTTTTTATAACTGTTGTACAAGCAGCCAGCCACTTAATAATCAAGTTAAAACGAAACCACTAAATAGTTTTATTTCTTATATCACTACTTCTGTAAATGCTAAAACGCTGTGGCGATGTTATCATATTCAGTCGACTTTGCAACAGAATAATATCTCAGACAAGTTACCGTATTCCTCTGGATTACGAGACGCTCTGGAAGGTAAGACACACCTAGAACCTTTGGTGTGAAGAAGGCCTCCTGCCTGAAACGTCGACATTTCTCCCTTTAAGACCTGTGTGCGCTATTAAGACATGTGTGTGTTATTAAAATATGTGTGTATTATTAAGGCATGTGCGTATATATTTAGAGTTTGGATGTCTCTCTCCCCGTGGTCGCGTGGATTTTTCTCCGGAATCTCCGGTGTTTTCCCTCCCCATTTCGAATCAACATCACGGTATTTAGAGAATTTGTCTGCTGCTGCTCTGCATTTCCACACGATGAGCCCCTTTTCGTTGAGCTATCATTTGTGATAGCCAGTTTCGCTACTGAAAAAAAGCTGTATAGGTTAGTGGGGCCTTACCTGGTAACATTTTTTAAGTTTAAGGCGTGTGTGTGTGTTATTCAGGCCTGTGTGTGTGCGCGTGCTATTGACGTGCCCTAACTTTAGGGTGATTTGGGGTAAAATAAAAGGTGCGTCTCGTAATCTGAAAGAAAAAAGAAAACGGTAAATCGTGTTTGCTTTCTTCTAACTTACACAAAACAAAGCTTTACCGATACTGAAGACCAACCGTGTTTTGCAGGAGAGGGCCCTTGCCATCAAGATGTTTGGCCCGCTTCCCTCGGCGCATTACTCCACCGGTGTAAGCGAGGCGCGTGCCAGGTACCCCGGAGGGAAACCGCGTGCCCGCTCGCTGCGCGACGCACCGCGGCTTGCAGCCGCACGACGCGTGGCGAGCCGCAAGTCCGCTCCGTCGACGACGTCACAACGATGCCGCTGACGCGTAGGTTTTCCCGGGTGGCCGGCGACGGCTCCCGCACCACAATTTTGTCTCTCGTGCACATTGCCACCCACCCGGCCACCCTCCTCCCCCCAACGTCACCCTCCCATATCCACCCCACTCCTCCCCTCGTCATCTCCCCGTGTCACATGGAGTCATGGTTGTTGTCCTTCCCCCGCACGCACGATTAGCGCGGTTGGCTACGTACGGCGCGAAAGGAGTTAAACGTGCGGTACATACAGAAGAGAATCTCAGAAGCGACTGGTACCAAGTCCACCCACCCTGAACTCTCAACTCCACTCTCTCACCTCTCGCCTGTCCCCTCTCCTACTGCAGACCGAACCCGGGACAGATTCCCCACCCAGCGCTCGGTTTCTTGCCAGAACTGTGCGGAAACGGTACATCGTAACATCGTAACAACTCAACTCCAAACAGATCTCTGTGCGGAATCAATTCCTGCCAAACGACTCCCGGACTGGTGGCAACCATCAGCACTTGCCCACTGTGCCCCCACCCCCCAACTCAATCCTGATGCTCCCACAACCATCCCCACCAACGTTGCTAGAAAAGGATCTCAGACGTTTTTAGCAACGTTCACCGCCCTCGCTCCGATAACCACCTCTCTCATCTCCCACCTCTCTCATCTCACCTCTCCCTCCTCACCTCTCCCCCATCTCACCTCTCCCTTCTCTCATCTCACCTCTCATCTCCCTTCTCACCTCTCCCTTCTCACCTCTCTGATCTCTCTCGTCACCTCTCACCTCTCATCTCTCCCTCCTCACCTCTCATCTCTCATCTCTCCCTCCTCACCTCTCCCTCCTTACCGCTCATCTCACCTCTCCCATCTCATCTCTCCCATCTCACCTCTCCCATCTCACTTCTCCCATCTCACCTCTCCCTCCTCACCTCTCCCATCTCACCTCTCCCATCTCAACTCTCATCTCACCTCTCCCATCTCCCTTCTCACCTCTCCCACCTCACCTCTCCCTTCCCTGCCCACCATGCACCCCCCTCCATCCCCCCCCCCCAATCCCTGAGCCTCCCCCCCCCTTCCCCGTTAGAAAAGAATCTCGGAGGCGACGCGCAGGCACTGGAAGGCCTCTGCGGGCAGCGCGCTGCGGGTGAGGTTGTTGCCGTCCATGCGCAGGTAGCGCAGGCGCGAGTAGGCGAGCGGCGAGCCCGGGGAGCCGCAGAAGCTGCTCACGGTGAACTCTGGGGGTCACGTGGGGAGACGAGTGGGAGAGGGGGGGGTGAGACATGGGGTTGGGGTAGGTCAGGCGGTTGTGGCTACGTACGGTGCAAAAGAAAGTACATGTACACATACCCCCTCGCTCTACCCCCTCTCTCTACCCCCTCGCTCTAAACCCCCTCTCTCTACCCCCTCTCTCTCTACCCCTTCTCTCTCTCTACCCCCTCTCTCTCTACCCCCTCTCTCTCTACCCCCTCTCTCTACCCCCTCTCTCTCTACCCCCTCTCTCTCTACCCCCTCTCTCTCTGCCCCATCTCTCTCTATCCCCTCACTCTCTACCCTCCCTCTCCCTACTCTCTCTCTCTACCCCCTCTCTCTACCCCCTCTCTCTCTCTCTACCCCCTCACTCTCTACCCCTTTCTCTACCCCCTCTCTCTCTACCCCCTCTCTCTCTACCCCCTCTCTCTCTACACCCTCTCTCTCTACCCCCTCTCTCTACCCCTCTCTCTCTCTACCCCCTCTCTCTCTCTACCCCCCCCCCTCTCTCTACCCTCTCTCTCTACCCCCTCTCTCTACCCCTCTCTCTCTACCCCATCTCTCTCTACCCCCCTCTCTCTACCCCCTCTATCTACCCCCTCTCTCTCTATCCCCTCTCTCTCTATCCCCTCTCTCTACCCCTCTCTCTCTCTACCCCCTCTCTCTCTACCCCCCCTCTCTCTACCCCCTCTCTCTACCCCCTCTCTCTACCCTCTCTCTCTCTCTACCCCATCTCTCTCTACCCCCCCTCTCTCTACCCCCTCTATCTACCCCCTCTCTCTCTACCCCCTCTCTCTCTACCCCCTCTCTCTCTCTACCCCCCCTCCTCTATCTACCCCCTCTATCTACCCCCTCTCTCTCTCTACCCCCTCTCTCTACCCCCTCTCTCTACCCCCTCTCTCTCTATCCCCTCTCTCTACCCCTCTGTCTCTACCCCCTCTATCTACCCCCTCTCTCTCTACCTCTCCCCCTCTTCCTACTCTCTCTCTACCCCCTCTCTCTACCGCCTCTCTCTCTCTCTATCCCCTCTCTCTCTCACCCCCCTCCCTACTCCCTCTCTCTACCCCCTCTCTCTACCCCCTCTCTCTACCCCCTCTCTCGCTCTACCCATCTCTCTCTACCCCCTCTCTCTCTACCCCCTCTCTCTACACCCTCTATCTACCCCCTCTCTCTCTACCCCCTCTGTCTCTACCCCCTCTCTCTCGCTATCCCCTCTCTCTCTAACCCCCCCTCTCCCTACTCCCTCTCTCTACCCCCTCTCTCTACCCCCTCTCTCTCCCCTCTCTCTACCCCCTCTCTCTCTACCCCATCTCTCTCTACTCCCTCTCTCTCTACCCCTCTCTCTCTACCCCCCTCCTCTCTCTACCCCTCTCTCTCTACCCCCTCTATCTCTACCCCCCCCCCCTCTATCTACCCCTCTCTCTCTACCCCTCCCCCTCTCCCTACTCTCTCTCTACCCCCTCTCTCTACCCCCTCTTTCTCTACCCCATCTCTCTCTACCCCCCCTCTCCCTATTCTCTCTCTCTATGTTCCCAATGTGTTTCTATCTCATTCTGTCTCTCTCTCTCTCTCACCCTGGATCTCGTTGGCCTCCAGGTAGAGGTTCTCCAGGTGCTCGCTGACCACGGGGATCTTGTGCAGCTTGTTGTGGCCCAGGCCGAGCTCCACCAGCGAGGTCGAGTTGAAGACCGCCGCGGGAACGCCCGCGTCCGTCATCGCGTTGTGCGACAGCCGCAGGTACTGGAGGCCCGCGAACTTGTTCACGAAGTCGGCGGGCACTGCGTCAATGTGGTTGTTGTCCAGGTAGAGCATCTTGATGGACGCCGGGAGGCTGTCGGGGATCTTCTTCAGTTGGTTCCCCGACAGGTCCAGCTGGATGAGCGACTTCAGGCCCTGTGGGGTTGTATAGTTTGGAGGGCGGCGGGGGGGAGTCACGGTGATTAGACGGTTGAGGAAGTTGCTGTTTTTTTACAACCTGATGAAGGAAGCTTGTGTTGCCTCCGAAACGTCGTGATTTAATTTAGTTGTTTTCATTTTTGTTTCATTTTATTTTATTTTTACCTGCTACGTGACTTTACCTGAAAGAACCAAAGAGTATGGATCCTTGCAGTCACGAAAACTTCAAATCGAGAGGTTGCTGTTGTTTGAAAAATAATTAGAATAGTTTTTTTTAACTCTTTCTGGCAATGAAACAGGAGGTTGTGCTAAGACGTTCAAACAGCAAACAGAAATCGTGTCCGCATTAACCACACGCAAACTTGTGGTGGTGAACAAGCAAACATGCTCTGGTAATAAACACCTTGGATTGCGAGTAACTTGGTCTGCGAGTGTTTTGCAAGACGAGCGAACATTTTAAATGATTAATTTGATAAACGAGCGACGGTCTTGCAATACGAGTGGCACGTATACGCTATGTACTGCCGAGCGTCACGTGATCACAACTGATATACGAGTGCTTTGATATACGAGTGCTTCGGATTACAAACACGTTTCTAGAAATAATTATGCTCGCAATCCAACGTTTTACTGTACTTGCATTGTCTTTGAAACGGATTGGTCTACGCCTTCTATAGGGCCTCGTCTCACCACCAGTGTCAGACCAGAGAACAACGCCAAAAGGCGACCAGTACAAGGACAATGCACGCGTCGGAGCATTCACAGCTCGGGGTTGGCTGCAGCTACGCCGTGGGATACCTTTTAGTGCAAGGAACGAAGTCTGCATTAATCACACACGTGCTTGTGGTAGTTGCATGCACGCCGCAATAAAACTCAAGTTTTTATTTTTAATACTTTGATACTGGCAAAAAAGTCATCCCATAACAGAGTTGTTAGTTTGTTTGTTAAATGCACGTAGTTGCAGGGAGACGATGGGGGTGGTTCGACCTCTGTCCCCCCCCCCCCCCCCCCCCCCCCCACTGATACCCCGGAAATGAGTATTGCATTGATATTTATTGCAGAAATATATTCTTCGTAGGGCCCTATTAAAGAAAGAAAAAAACACTTGAATTTCACTGACCACTTGGGCCAATGCTCAGTGCACCTTGAGGCCACGTGGAGTGTGGAAGGCCTGCTGGCTGGAGGTCACGGGGACAGACCCGGCAGACGACATGAATTGACTGGGAGAGGTCGGTCAAAGCTCTGGAGACAACTTTCCTCCACGCTGCCACGCAACCCTTGATTCCTTTTGTTTAAAGGAAGTTTCCACCCCCTCTTATTTGGCAGCTTCCTGCCCCGAGTGGAGAACTGTCCACCCCTCGTGGCGACTGAAGCCAGAACCAGTCAACTGTATCTCCTTGATATACACAGACGTCCAAACGGTTAGGGGCTATCCATTTAGTAGGTACACAAACATCTGTCAAAACTTGACACTTCCCCCCCTCCCTGTACTTTTTACACCCCCCCCCCCCCCACCTGCGTACGTACGCCTGACGCACCACCCCCCCCCCCCCCCCCACGAATCCTATAGAACGGCCGATATTTAATCCACGCAGAAACGATCAAGGATTAATATTAACATGTTTAAGAAAACAGATAGTCCACCACCGGACTATCTAACTCATTTGAAGGCCAATGTAGACAAATTATTATCTAGTTTTCACCACCCCCCCCCCCCCCCCCCCGTTTCCTATGCGTACGCACATTGTCACCCCTCATACACAAGCGAACGCGTTTGGGTTAACCCCCCCTCCATGCGTACGGACTAAATGAATGGCCCCTTCCACGTGGCCAGCCTCAGTGTTTTTAACACGCTGGCTCGCTCACACGACCCCGGGTCGGGAATCGAACCCAGGTGCTACTTGCTGGAAGGGACAAGCGATGAGTGGACGTTTGCGTCACCTTGAAGGCGGCTCCGAGGCCGTCCTCCTTGAGCTTGTTGTTGTTCATGATGAGCATCGTGAGGTTCTCCAGCTTCCCCAGAGATCCGCCAAACTTGGACAACTGCAACAGGGATCCAGCCGCAAGCACTGAGCATGGGAACCACCACCACCCAGAGACTCACCACCACAACAACCAGACCCATAGACTCACCACCACCACCCAGAGACTCATAGACTCACCACCACCATCCATAGACTCATAGACTCACCACCACCACCACCCAGAGACTCATAGACTCACCAGCACCACCATCCATAGACTCACCACCAGCACCACCCATAGACTCACCACCAGTGCCACCCATAGACTCACCACCACCACCAAGAGACCCATAGACTCACCACCAGTGCCACCATCCATAGACTCACCACCAGTGCCACCATCCATAGACTCACCACCACAACCAGACCCATAGACTTACCACCACCATCCATAGACTCACCACCACAACCAGACCCATAGACTTACCACCACCATCCATAGACTCACCACCACCAGCACCACCACCCATAGACTCACCACCACAACCAGACTCATAGACTCACCACCACCAGACCCATAGACTCACCACCAGCACCACCACCCATAGACTCACCACCACCACCCAGAGACTCACCACCAGCACGACCACCCATAGACTCACCACCAGCACCACCATCCATAGACTCGCCACCAGCACCACCACCCATAGACTCACCACCACTCCCACCCATAGACTCACCACCCCCACCCAGAGACCCATAGACTCACCACCACCACCGAAACACCCATAGACTCTCCACCCCCACCCAGAGACCCATAGACTCACCACCACCACCCAGAGACCCATCGACTCACCACTCCCACCTATAGACTCACCACTCCCACCCATAGACTCACCACCACCACCCATAGACTCACCACCACCCATAGACTCACCACCAGTGCCACCCATAGACTCACCACCACAACCAGACCCATAGACTCACCACCACCACCCATAGACTCACCACCACTCCCACCCATAGACTCACCACCCCCACCCAGAGACCCATAGACTCACCACCACCACCGAAACACCCATAGACTCACCACCCCCACCCAGAGACCCATAGACTCACCACCACCACCACCCAGAGACCCATCGACTCACCACTCCCACCTATAGACTCACCACTCCCACCCATAGACTCACCACCACCACCCATAGACTCACCACCACCCATAGACTCACCACCAGTGCCACCCATAGACTCACCACCACAACCAGACCCATAGACTCACCACCACCACCCATAGACTCACCACCAGCACCACCATCCATAGACTCACCACCACCAGCACCACCACCCATAAACTCACCACCAGCACCACCATCCATAGACTCGCCACCAGCACCACCACCCATAGACTCACCACCACTCCCACCCATAGACTCACCACCCCCACCCAGAGACCCATAGACTCACCACCACCACCGAAACACCCATAGACTCTCCACCCCCACCCAGAGACCCATAGACTCACCACCACCACCCAGAGACCCATCGACTCACCACTCCCACCTATAGACTCACCACTCCCACCCATAGACTCACCACCACCACCCATAGACTCACCACCACCCATAGACTCACCACCAGTGCCACCCATAGACTCACCACCACAACCAGACCCATAGACTCACCACCACCACCCATAGACTCACCACCACTCCCACCCATAGACTCACCACCCCCACCCAGAGACCCATAGACTCACCACCACCACCGAAACACCCATAGACTCACCACCCCCACCCAGAGACCCATAGACTCACCACCACCACCACCCAGAGACCCATCGACTCACCACTCCCACCTATAGACTCACCACTCCCACCCATAGACTCACCACCACCACCCATAGACTCACCACCACCCATAGACTCACCACCAGTGCCACCCATAGACTCACCACCACAACCAGACCCATAGACTCACCACCACCACCCATAGACTCACCACCAGTGGCACCCATAGACTCACCACCCCCACCCAGAGACCCATAAACTCACCACCACCCATGGACTCACCACCAGTGCCACCCATAGACTCACCACCACCACCCAGAGACCCATAGACTCACCACCAGTGCCACCCATAGACTCACCACCACCACCCAGAGACCCATAGACTCACCACTAGTGCCACCCATAGACTCACCACCACCACCCAGAGACCCATAGACTCACCACCAGTGCCACCCATAGAATCACCACCAGTGCCACCCATAGACTCACCACCACAACCAGACCCATAGACTCACCAACCCCACCCAGAGACCCATAGACTCACCATCACCACCACCCATAGACTCACCACCACCACCCATAGACTCACCACCACCCCCACCCATTGACTCACCACCACCCAGAGACCCATGGACTCACCACCACCACCCAGAGACCCATGGACTCACCACCACCACCACCCAGAGACCTACGATCACCCCCACCCAAAGACCCACAGATTCACCACCACCACCACCACCACTTAGACACGCAGTGGCATCTCGACGTCGTGCACGCTCGCGCTCCACCGTGGCGCGTGCTGCACCTTGTTGTAGCTGGCTCGCAGTTCGTGCAGGGAGCGTGGCAGTGTGGGCAGTGCGGTCAGGTTGTTGTGGTCCAGGTAGAGCTTCTCCAGGCCGGCCATCTTGCTGAACACGCCCTTGCCCACCTGGACAAGAGCAGAATGTCCATGTTACTCGGCAGCCTCCCTCCTTGTGGAGTTGTGTATGTTCTACCCCGCAGTGCTGCGGAGTGCGATTGCGAGTGTATGGGGAGCGGTGGTGCAGCGGTTAGCAGTGCGCCCTGCGAACCCGGCGACCCGAGTTCGATTCCCGCTCACGGCCAACACCAGCGGTGACGATTATCTGAACCGGTCCTGGGCCTCCCCCTAGGTCGACTCGGTCTCGAATGAGTGACCCGGTGCGGTGTGTAGTAAACATCGCCACTGGGGGGAGACAAAGGCGGCCGGGCGTGGTGCTGGCCACCCACCCCCCCGTGTGCCGTGCCCGCCTTCATAGGCGCTGCTCGCCAACGGCACTTGCCCCGGCAGCCTGTCGAAGGCTACGCGGGGGACCTTTGTCGTCTTTTTGCGCGACCCACCACGGACCTCGCCGCGAGGCGTCGTCACCCACCTTGTCGCTCAGCAGCTGGTTGTTGTCCACCAGCAGCCAGGACAACTCGGTCGCGTTGCTGAAGGCATCCTCCTTGATTCCCTCGATCTGGTTGCCGCTCAGGTAGACGTACTTCATCCTCGACGGGATGGGCGGCACCTCCTGCCACGTGGTGCGTTACAGCGCCGTTCCAACGTCAGCGCGTGGACATGGTGCAGAGGGGGAGGACTCGGTGTGGTGTGTGTGGTGTGTGTGTGGTGTGTGTGGTGTGTGTGGTGTGGTGTGTGTGGTGTGTGTGTGTGGTGTGTGTGGTGTGTGTGTGTGTGGTGTGTGTGGTGTGGTGTGGTGCGGTGTGTGGTGTGTGTGGTGTGTGTGTGGTGTGGTGTGTGTGTGTGGTGTGTGTGGTGTGTATGGTGTGTGTGTGTGGTGTGTGTGGTGTGTGTGTGTGGTGTGTGTGGTGTGTGTGGTGTGTGTGTGGTGTGTGTGGTGTGGTGTGTGTGGTGTGTGTGTGTGTGGTGTGTGTGTGGTGTGTGTGGTGTGTGTGTGTGTGGTGTGTGTGGTGTGGTGTGTGTGGTGTGTGTGGTGTGTGTGTGTGGTGTGTGTGTTGTGGTGTGTGTGGTGTGTGTGTGTGTGGTGTGTGTGTGTGTGGTGTGTGTGTGTGGTGTGTGTGTGGTGTGTGTGTGTGGTGTGGTGTGTGTGTGGTGGGTGTGGTGTGGTGTGTGTGGTGTGGGGTGTGTGGTGTGTGTGGTGTGTGTGGTGTGTGTGGTGTGTGTGTAGTGTGTGTGTGGTGTGTGTGGTGTGTGTGTGTGGTGTGTGTGTGTGGTGTGTGTGTGTGTGGTGTGTGTGTGGTGTGTGTGTGGTGTGTGTGTGTGGTGTGTGTGGTGTGTGTGGTGTGGTGTGTGTGTGGTGTGTGTGGTGTGTGTGGTGTGTGTGGTGTGTGTGGTGTGGTGTGTGTGGTGTGTGCGGTGTGTGGTGTGTGTGTGTGGTGTGTGTGGTGTGTGGGGTGTGTGTGGTGTGTGTGTAGTGTGTGTGTGTGTGGGGTGTGGGGTGTGTGGTGTGTGTGGTGTGTGTGGTGTGTGTGTGGTGTGTGGGGTGTGGTGTGTGTGTAGTGTGTGTGTAGTGTGTGTGTGGTGTGTGTGGTGTGTGTGTGGTGTGTGTGGTGTGTGTGTGTGGTGTGTGGTGTGTGTGTGTGTGTGTGGTGTGTGTGGTGTGTGTGTGTGGTGTGTGTGGTGTGGTGTGGTGCGGTGTGTGGTGTGTGTGGTGTGTGTGGTGTGTGTGTGGTGTGTGTGTGTGTGTGGGGTGTGGGGTGTGTGGTGTGTGTGGTGTGTGTGTGGTGTGTGTGGTGTGTGTGGAGTGTGGTGTGTGTGGTGTGTGTGGTGTGTGTGGTGTGTGTGGTGTGGTGTGTGTGGTGTGTGTGGTGTGGTGTGTGTGGTGTGTGTGGTGTGGTGTGTGTGGTGTGTGTGGTGTGGTGTGTGTGGTGTGTGTATGTGTGTGGTGTGTGTGGTGTGTGTGGTGTGTGTGGTGTGGTGTGTGTGGTGTGTGTGGTGTGGTGTGTGTGGTGTGGTGTGTGTGGTGTGTGTGGTGTGGTGTGTGTGGTGTGTGTATGTGTGTGGTGTGTGTGTGGTGTGTGTGGTGTGGTGTGTGTGGTGTGTGTGGTGTGTGTGTGTGGTGTGTGTGTGGTGTGTGGTGTGGTGTGTGTGGTGTGTGTGGTATGTGTGTGTGTGGTGTGTGTGTGTGGTGGGTGTGGTGTGGTGTGTGTGGTGTGTGTGGTGTGGGTGTGTGGTGTGTGTGGTGTGTGTGGTGTGTGTGGTGTGGTGTGTATGTGGTGTGTGTGGTGTGTGTGTGTGGTGTGTGTGTGGTGTGGTGTGTGTGGTGTGTGTGGTGTGTGTGTGGTGTGGTGTGGACTGTGATGTACACTGTTGTGTGGTATTCCCCGTAGTGTGGTGTGGCGTGAACTGTGATGTGGTATGCGGTGTGGTGTGTGCGGTGTGGTGTGGCGTGCACTGTGATGTGGTGTGCGGTGCGGTGTGGTGTGCGGTGTGGTTTGCACTGTGATGTGCTCTGTAGTGTGGTGTGGTGTGATCTGTGGTATGGTGTGCGGTGTGGTGTGTGCGGTGTGGTGTGCACTGTGATGTACACTGTTGTGTGGCATACCCCGTAGTGTGGTGTGGCGTGCACTGTGATGTGGTGTGCGTTGTGGTGTGGTGTGTGCGGTGTGGTGTGGTATGTGCACTTTGGTGTGGTGTGTGCGGTGTGGTTTGCACTGTGATGTGCTCTGTAGTGTGGTGTGCACTGTGGTGTGGTGTGAATTGTGGTATGATATGCGGTGTGGTATAATGTGCGGTGTGGTGTTGACTGTGATGTGGTGTGTGCGGTGTGCACTGTGGTGAGCTGTGTGGTGTGCACTGTGGTGTGGTATCCCCTGGTATGTGCACTCTGGTGTGGTGTGCCCTGCAGTGTGTATGTATGTTGAACTTCATTCGCACCGTACATAGCCAACTGTGCTCACCGGAGATACATTGTGGTGCAGTGTGCGGTGAGGTGTGGTGTAGATTTGGTGCAGTGTGGGGTGTACGGTGTGGTGAGGTATCGGGTGTGTGGTGTGGTGTGGTGAGCTGTGTGGTGAGGTGTGGTGTGGTGAGGTGTGTGGTGAGGCGTGCAGTGTGGTAAGGTGTGGGGTGTGTGGTGTGGGGTGTGTGGTTTGGTGTGGTGTGGTGAGGTGCAGGGTGTGGTGAGGTGTGGTGTGGTGAGGTGTGGGGTGTGTGGTGTGGTGAGGTGTGTGGTGTAGTGAGGTGCAGGGGGTGGTGAGGTGTGGTGTGGTGACCTGTGTGGTGAGGTGTGTGGTGTGGTGAGCTGTGGTGTGATGAGGTGAGGTGTGGGGTGTGTGGTGTGGGGTGTGTGATGTGGTGTGGTGAGGTGTGGGGTTTGTGGTGTGGTGTGGTGTGGTCAGCTGTGTGGTGAGGTGTGGGGTGTGTGGTGTGGTGTGTGGGGTGGTGAGCTGTGGTGTGGTGTGGTGAGCTGTGTGGTGAGGTGTGTGGTGTGGGGTGTGGGGTGTGTGGTGTGGTGAGGTGCAGGGTGTGGTGAGGTGTGGTGTGTGGTGTGGTGAGATGTGGGGTTTGTGGTGTGGTGTGGTGAGCAGTGTGGTGAGGTGTGGTGTGGTGAGCTGTGGTGTGGTGTGGTGAGCTGTGGGGGTGCAGGGGCACACCACCTTGAGTTTGCGGTTGTCACAGTACATGGCAGTCGGCCAGGCGGGGGGGCAGGTGCAGACCTCGGGGCAGTCATGAGAGCTGCTCATTTCTATACACACACACACACAGGTGTACACACACAGGTGTACACACACAGGTGTACACACACACACACAGGTGTACACACACACAGGTGTACACACACAGGTGTACACACACACAGGTGTACACACACACAGGTGTACACACACAGGTGTACACACACACAGGTATACACACACACACAGGTGTGTACACACACACGCAGGTGTGTACACACACACACAGGTGTGTACACACACAGGTGTGTACACACACACACAGGTGTACACACACACACACAGGTGTGTACACACACACACACAGGTGTACACACACAGGTGTACACACACAGGTGTGTACACACACAGGTGTGTACACACACACACAGGTGTGTACACACACACAGGTGTGTACACACAGGTGTGTACACACACACACAGGTGTACACACACAGGTGTGTACACACACAGGTGTGTACACACACACAGGTGTACACACACACACACAGGTGTGTACACACACACACAGGTGTACATACACACACACACAGGTGTACACACACACACAGGTGTGTACACACACACACACAGGTGTGCACACACACAGGTGTGTACACACACACACAGGTGTGCACACACACACACAGGTGTGCACACACACACACAGGTGTGTACACACACACACAGGTGTGTACACACACACACAGGTGTGTACACATGTAGGGGTGCTATGGGGAAGAAACACACGGTGTGGGAAGGTGTGGCACACCCACACCTTGGTGGCTACAACCACGTCCGCTATGGCTCAACCCTCAGTCTTAAATAGAGCGGGATGACGTCATCGCTGAGAGCCAATCAGGTGCGGAGAGCAGAGGGGGTGATGGTTGGGCTATTGTGACGCACTCTTAATTCTACACTCGGCTCTTTGCAGAACTCGTGGGCACGTGTTTTTGGCTCTTGGTCTGTTACAGATTCCCCCCCCCCCAGCATAGTCTAAAGCAAAACATATCGTCATCATTTACGTGCGCGTGCGTGCGTGCGCGTGCGTGCGTGCGTGCATGCGCGCCCCACCGACGACGTCATAGTAGGCCGGTGGGTCGGCTGCCAAGGGCCCATCGTAGGAGTCGTAGTAGTGAGGCCACGTGGCTTGGGCCCCTTGGATGGCAGCGATGGCCGCCACGAGCATCAGCAGCATCGCCACGTCCGCCCGGGAGGCTGACATCTCTCAGCGGCCCTCTGTCTCTCTTACGAAAGCTCTTCTTGTGCCCTCTCTTTCTTACGAAAGCTCTTCTGGGCTGCTACCGCTGCTGTGTTAGTTGTTCACTTGGTCTGCAGATGGATCTGTCCGGGAGAGAATTGAACAGTGGTTAATGATTTTTTTTTCTTCATATTATGACATTGGCATCTATTTACCCAGGACCCACAGACTCACACAAAGACCCAAAAGACTTCACATATAACGGCCCACAGACTCATATAGAGAGCCGTAGACTCACAACTTGTCTGGGTTTATCCTAGACGGTCCGGAAGCCTCACTTGAGTCACAACTAGTCGGGGTTTCCACTTTCTTTCCGATGTAGACCAAACCCGGACACATTTCTCAGACGGTCTATGTCTACAATAACTGTGCCGTCTACTGGAATAAAGTTCAGCACAGCAAGGTCGTAATTATAATATATATTGGGGGGGGGGGGGACATCCCCAATATTTAAATATACTCAAAATGTCCCCCCCCCAATATATTGCTATAAAAAATTGCTATGCTGTGTAAATAAAAACAACAATTTGCTAAACCTTGGCCACAATATCTGGACTTGTCTTCATATAAATCAATGCATAGATGTATGTTTATATGATTGATTGTGGTTATGGTTGTACTTTATTAATCCCTAATCTCTGCCATTGCATACAATGAAACAAGAAATGGCAAAAACAGCAATGTAATACAATACACTATTAGACATTATTGTCAAAAATAAAATAAAAGTCCATCCCATGTGTTAGTTAATTTTTTTTATATTTTAGGCAGGAAACTAGTTGTTAAATTTACATATTTTTTCTGGGTTGGGACCCCCAGACACCCTGGAAGATTTTGTCCCCCCCAATGTTGACTCTATGGCTACAGCCTTGCAGCACAGTACCGCCAGATCTATGCATTCCGGCCACACGGGCTCCAATTCCCGGACTGTCTAGGTTAAAAACAGACAAGTGGAAACTCTGTGGGTCTATGTGTGAGACTGTGGGTGTCTAATGCACGTCTGTGGGGCCATGTTCAGTTGGCAGGAATTGATTTGTACCGATATCTCATGGTGCTGTGTTGAACTGTATTGCTAACTAAACTAAGCTATTTTTTGTATTTTACCAGGTAAAGCCGATTGAGCTATATCGCTCTTTTTCAGAAGCGACCTGGCCACGACTAATAGCTCAACGAAGTGGCTTGCCATGTTGAGATTTATAGCAGCCAAAAACTCTAAATGCATGTTGATAAATGTGGAGGGAAAAACCGGAGGACCCGGAGAAAAATCCACACGACCACGGGGAAAACGTGCAAACTCAGCGTCAGGATCGAACCCACGACCTCCTGTATACTCGGCAAAGTAGTTAACATCTTGCCACCACAGCGCCCAGTTTACTGCACAGTGTTGCTAGACCTAGACCGACCGAGAAATGTGTCTGGGTTCATCTAAAGTCGCAAAGGTGGCGACGCTAGTGGAAGAGTGGACCAAATAACCCTTTCGAGTTCGCTTGCTCCAGTGGAGGACATTCCCCCAGCAGTGGCACGAGCAAGCAATTGCAGGGCCGCACGCTGTGCATCAAAATTAAGATGGAACGACACGCAGAGGCGTGCAGCAATCGAGCGGACAAAAGGCATCGGGCGTTTTTTGTTTTGTTTAGACCACCACCTCCAAAGGAACTGCACGTGTGGCCATGTTGTCGTTTAAGACGATCCCCGCTCAAAGAGTCGGGGGGGGGGGGGGAGGGGAATGTAAAGCCATCCCCAACAGGCAGCAGTGAAACGAAGTGCCTCGCCGTGACTGGCTCCCGTCATGATTAGCACTCATCGGCGCGGGAGAGTCCACCCAGCTCAGCAGCGACGCGGACTCCCAGGGCGCGTCTCGCCGGCGAACACAGGCCGCAAGGGGAACGGCGAGCCCATGGCGATCCCTCAGGGCTCCCGTCCCAGCGCCGTTAACCACTCGACGTGCACGAGTGACCTGCCACGTACTCCGTGTCGCAAGTCCCTATACGCGTAGAGCGTAGATAGCCCTTGGTGCCCAGTGGGCACAAACCTCGAGAGCATTGGCAACTCGTCGGACAGCGTGATCTCACTTTATTGGAGGAGTCCTTGACATCGCTGGTGACTCGTGCCATGTGGCGTTCCGCCCAAAACAACCGTGCAAGCAGATGCCACCCTCCATATTGTCTTTCTATGGTTAGCCCACAGTGCTCGATGGCCTCCTACTCCAAGGTGGGGGCGGGGGGGGGGGGAGTATCGTGGACAAGAAGGCTTCACCTTCAAACAACGCATACAGCAAAGCGAAGGGATCTGTGAAAGGATCAGATCGTGAATGGCCCCGCTACAGCAACTCGCAGGGACGACCCCAGGGACGCCTCAGCTGATGCGCTGCGGGCTGCCGCCCTCTCTCCGTACGTACTTACGTTGAACTTCATTCGCACCGTACGCACCCAACCGCGCTAATCGGAGGCGCGCGGGGGAGAGGGGGGAAGGACAACAACACTAAACACAAAAAGCAGTTCTAAAGAAATTCGTTTTCAACCTGGATGTAAAAGTTCAGAGCTCCAGCTGCTTCTCCAGAGCGTTCCAGACGGACGCAGAAGCGCATCCGAAAGCGCGCGATGCTGCGACCGCCTGTTGTTCGACGGTGCTTAGCCAAAAGCCGCTGCCGCTGCGAGGGTGACCCCCGGAGTTCGGGCGATGATCTCAGGGCCAAAGTCGCTGCACTTCAACCGACCCTGGTGGCTCGCGAACACAAAACGCCGCTAAGCTGCTCAATGAAATAACGCAACGCGCGTCACGACCACAACACCGGCCACTGATCCCCGTTGGCTCCCTTGTTCTGGCGAACGTTCCGCGAACACAAAGAAAATCAGCGGAGACATTGCCGACGACAAGCCACTCTCCTCATCAACCTCGCCGAGGTTCCTCACCACCGACTTGAGCCAATATACCCCTCCCCCCCACCACCACCCCCCGCCTTCTGGGATCTCGCTGCGGTCATCATCCTAGAATTTCACCCAGGTACTGTGCAGACGAACACGCTGGCGAACACGAGTGGAACAATTGCGGACGTAAAATAATAAACGCCTCAATCGAAATCCAAAAGAGCATACCTCCCGCCTTTCACTTGTGGTGGAGGCGTCAACCGCAGCATAAGATCAACAGGCCCATGCACACATCGCCTTAATATTTGGAAAATGAAAGCCCCGGTGGTGTGATTGTGGCCATGGGTTTCAAAGTGTGGACCATATCGCATACCACTGTGGTCTGCGCTTCTTCGATGGCGGAAGAGCAAAACTCCTCTTGAAGCCCTCTCGTGGCTAACAGACCTCGACATTTGGCATTTAGCTTCCGAACATATTGCTGCCATACGCCAGATTAGAATAGTACAGTCGAGTCATCGATATTCGCTGCTGCCACTTGCTCCTGGGAGCCTGCTATCGGTAACCACAAATGAAAAAAAATAACAACACGCGATTATATCTTTTTTTATTGAACAAAAATACTTGGATGTCTTTCATTTTACTTTTTTAAGCAATCGGTCTTATGCTTGTGTCCAGCTCATGCTGTCTTTTTTGCACGGCCAGTGTCAAATTTTGGTGGAGGCAGTTCTGCGGGGCTTCCTAGCTGCCAATATAACAGCCGGATACACCCTCGCCAACACATGTGGCCTTGGACTTATAACGAATTAAAATAAAACATCTGACTGATGCCATGTGCTTGTATAGGAAATTAATATTACTCGTTGCTGGGGCAGTCCTTCTACCAGCAGTGGATCGACCATGGCTGTGGGCACCACGGTGGCTTTGAGATGTCAACTACCTCGCCTGGTATACAGGAGGTTGTGGGTTCGATCCCGACCCTGACGCCTGCTGTATATTTGAAGTTTGCGTGGTCTCCCCGTGGTCGCGTGGATTTTTATTCGGTTTTTCCCTCCACATTTGGAAGCGTGCGTTTAGAGCGTTTGGCTGCTATAAAGAAAAATATACGTGATAAGCCACTTCATTGAGCTATCATTTGTGATAGCCAATTCGCTTCTGGAAAACAGCTACGCAGATCGGTGGGGCCTTACCTAGTAAGAAAAAAATTACATCATTGTCAGCCTTTATTAGTGAAATAAAAATGTTCATATAAATGATATACCAAGAATAGCCTTACTGAGTCTCAATAAAGCTTAGAAGTTTTCTCCTATGTTTTTCTTATTGGAGGCAACCGTTGATATGTTTTCCAATAAAATGTCTGATTTGGCATATTTGGACCGTGATGCCAGGACACAATGGTATGCTTTTACGTTGCTCCGTCTTTGAGAGTAAAACTGATATTTTGTTTATTTATGTCTCAGAGTATGAGTTTAGAAAAATAAATAATTACGAATCCAAGTTTTCACGTGATGGGTTTTAAGTCCAGTCAAGCGTCACTAGGGGCTGAGGCCATCAACTTTCTATGGCCGAGAAGCCGGTTTGACCACGCCAAACGGTTTGGCCAGGCCACGCGGTTTGACCACGGGAAACGGTTTGGCCAGGCCACGCGGTTTGATCAGGCCACGCGGTTTGACCAGGCCACACGGTTTGGCCAGGCCACACGGTTTGACCACGCCAAACGGTTTGGCCAGGCCACGCGGTTTGACCACACCACGCGGTTTGACCAGGCCACGCGGTTTGGCCAGGCCACGTGGTTTGACCAGGCCACACGGTTTGGCCAGGCCACGCGGTTTGACCAGGCCACGCGGTTTGACCAGGCCACGCGGTTTGACCAGGCCACGCGGTTTGGCCAGGCCACGCGGTTTGGCCACGCCAAGCGGTTTGGCCAGGCCACGCGGTTTGACCAGGCCACGCGGTTTGACCACGCCAAGCGATTTAACCACGGGAAACGGCTGAAACCTGGATTGGAACCCAGGATCTCAGCGTTGCCGACTTCTGAGCCAGCCAGCCTCTTTGATGGTCTGAAAAGGTGCTACTCAATAACATCACTTGCTGTTACAGTCTGTTAAAGGCGACACACAGTGGTTATTTGTCATTGTGCGTGTCTGTATTTACGCCAGTCTGTGCGTGTCCGTTTGCGTCTGCGTGTGTGTCTATGTGCATCTTTGTGTCTATCATAG